AAAAAAAAAAAAAAAAAAAAAAAAAAAAAAAAAATTAAGCACTCCAACAATGTGCTGTTTGATAATATATTGGCCAACTGATTTAATAATTACAATTTCACTTGAATTCGAATTTCAGGGCGTCAGACTGGCACAAAAGTTCGAAGCGCTGGTTTTGGCGGACGCGCGCTTCGAAATCCCAGCGACGAGGCATTTGGGACTCGTAGTATTCCGTCTCCGTGGAGAGAACAGTCTAACAGAACGTTTGCTGAAGAAGATGAACTCGAGGGGTCGTGTCCATTGCGTACCGGCTGCTTTACATGGGAAATACGTGATTCGATTTACCGTCACCTCAACCAAGTAAGCAAGCCTTTGCATCGACGAATGTCAAAATTTCAATCAATGTCGCGGTAGATACTTATCTAACGATTCTGGCTAAACGACACGATAAGTCTAAAAGTGAGGAAACTTACGGAACAACTTTAAAAATAATTTTATAATTTTAGCACTACCAACGAAGACATCTTAAGAGATTGGGCTGAGATACGGAATACAGCGAACGAAATTCTGGGAGATACCACGACTTCTCCAGTACGAGCGAAAGTCCCACTCGCAGGTAACGCAGAAACGAACGGTAAACTGACAACGAGTCACTCAATACGACCAATTTCGTGTAATAATTTTTGAAATATCGGAGGTGAACATTGTGCTTGTAAATTTTATACGTTGCTCAAGCACATGTCGATCGTAAGCTTGGTCTTTATTAAAGACTTGATTTTGTTTCAGATTTTCTAGATAGACGGAGTTTCACGTTTTCTTTCTTTTAGTTTTATTTCTGTTCGTAAGACTGCAAATCCCTTGAGTTTTACACAAGGATAGAACTTTCGTTCGGTAGACAAAAGGAAGCTGTTGTTAGAATTAAATTTTTACTAGTTATTGAGAGAGTTGTGGATATTAAACTCTGTTGTCACTATTGTACAAAATATATCGTAATCTTTTCTTTTTTGTTACTTACGTAGCGAATACGTAGTAGAGTTATCAAAACTTTATTTTTACTGTATATCAACTTTGCTCAATGTCAAATGCTAAGTAATTTATACAAATAATAATAAGCAATTTTTTTTCTAATCACTTGATTTTGCTTCACTTTTCTCCCTTTTTTTTTATACAAATGCATGTCTATAATTTTTGGAATACAGAAAGCTCAGGTAAGACGAGTTTCCAATACGTGTGATTTCACACTTTGCATTTTAATTTTGTCCCTTGAAAGTATTCAATTTAATATCGATGTCCTTCGGGCAATCGAATCGAATAATAACGAGGACTTTCAATTTTTCAGATACTCGAGAAAAGAACGAAAACTTCGGTTCAAGTTTGTTATTGGCCAATTCCCCGATGTCGCCGAAAATCGTGAACGGCAGCTTCGCTGCAATTTACGATACCGCAGATATATTCGAAGAATGTACGAAAGCTTTCGGTCAATTGCGACTCGAAGCTAGAGACAGTCCAGGTAAATGACAAGTAAAACGATAGATAAAAGACATCGTGACTGAATGCATGATGATGTGCTTCGATTTTTAAGCTATGCGACGTCGAATTCGAGGAATACTGATGTCGGGGAAACAGTTCTCTTTGGATTCCCGCATGGATCTCGTACAGGTACAGCTGTACCAAAATTACAATTCTTATCGATTTGCACGTCTTATTATTTGCATCGTTACACATTTTAGGGATACGCTTGCTGCCGTCCAGCTATAGAAATGGCCTCGGAATTGCCACTACAAGAGGATGAAGATCTTGGAACTAACGAAACCTCTGCTAACCAGTCCAAAAATGGTAACTACATGATCAAAGTCCCTCGACGATTTGAACTTTAAAACTTTGAACTCGAGTTTTGTAGCTTGATCAACGCGTCAAATAATTCATTTTTTTTTCCTTTTTTCCTTTTATATAACCAGATAATTCTGGTGAATGTGCAACCGCCCGAGAGGAAGCGGAGAATCCCGAAAAGACGAACAAACCGTTGAGAAGACAAACGAGCAAGTCTCGCTCGAATTACGCCATGAATGGCTCTGTGAAAGTCGGTTCTCAAGACTGCTCGGAAACTTTAACGTCCATGATGTCGACAGAAGGTAACAACATGCCACGAAGCGAAACGATAGCTGCGATCGGTCATCGTCCATGTACCGGCGATCTATCGTCGACACAGAGCCAAAACGAGAGTTCCAATAAAGAAAACGAAGGCAGCCTCGAGGACGCGGAGATCGTCTGCAGGAAGTGTGGCCATTGTATGAAGAAGGAATAAAATTAGCCAAAATAAATCGTACACAATGTTACAGCGACAGCTGCCGACTGTGTATACTCCTTCGATGTCTTCGATGGATTCTATGTTGTTCAGATCTAATTGTAAGCGTGGCGCTTTCGCAGGCCACGCCACAAACTGTTGGAGAGAAAGTAATCAACTGCGACATTAAATCTGAATTTACCGTCTGACAATTGCCTTCTGTTTAACTGACTATCCTTATCCCATTTTCTTTAAGGTATTCTTACACGTACATATACACATATTAAGAAAAAA